ATTTCTCCTTCTTTTCTGAAGGATAGCCTTGCTAGGTATAGTATTCTTGGATGGCAATTTTTTTCTTCTAATGTTTTGAATATATCATCCCATTCTCCCTGGCCTTTATGGTTTCTGTTGAGAAATCAGCTGTTAGTCTAATGGGGACTCCCTTATTGGTGATGTGATGCTTTTCTCTTGCTGTTTTTAAGATCTTCTCTTTGTCTTTGAGTTTTGCCAGTTCGATTATAATGTGTCTCAGAGAGGACCTTTTTGGACTGAATCTGTTTGGGGATCTTTGGGCCTCAAGGATGTGAGGTTCTTTGTCTCTCCCTATACCTGGTAAGTTTTTCACTTTTATTTCATTGAGTAAGATTTCAATGCCTTTTCCTTTCTCCTCCCTTTCTGGAACACCCATGATTCAGATGTTTGTGCACTTTAGGTTGTCTGCTAGCTCTCTCAGATTTTCTTCATTTTCTTGGATTCTTTTTCTTTTTCTTTTTCTTTTTTTTTTTTTTTGTCTGCCTAGGTTATTTCAAAAATACCATCTTCAAGATCAGAAATTCTTTTTTCTGCTTGCTCTGACCTGTGGCTTAAACTGTCAGTTGTGTTTATTTCATTGAATGAGTCCTTCAGCTCCACAAGTTCTGCTACATTCTTTTTTAAGCCATTAATCTCTTTGTGCATTTCCTCCTTCAGATCCAATAGACATTTTCTCATTTTGTTATATCATCTGAGGCTTCTTGTATCTCACTGAGTTTCCTTAAGATTGTTACTTGGAATTCCTTTTTAGTGATTTCTAGGGTTTCCTGCTCTATGGGGTCTGGAACTTGAGAATTATTATATTCCTTTGATGGTGTCATATTTTCTTGTTTTCTCGTATTTCTAATATCAGTATGTTGACATCTGATCATCTGGTAGGGCAGTTGTTTCTTCTGTTACTCTGGAGTGGGCTTTGTGGATAAAGACTTCCTCCTGTGTTTTATAGTGATCATTGTGTGGGGTGTTTTAGTATTGGTTCTAGGAAGAGGCAGTAGTGTAGTCTTTGTGTGGGTACTTTGGTTGTATTCAGTGTTGGAATTGTGTGTGAGTACCTCCATGGCCTAGTCACTGGGGCACTTAGTGATTCCTTGCTGAGGTTAGTGACACTGTGTTGGTATGTCCAGGACATGGGCAAGCTCTTGCGTTCTTGGGAGAAGCACTTGAGTGCCCTGTTGCTCTTTGTCTGGGGTGGGTGGTCCTGGGCAGGTCTTTTGGTACCCCAGCTTACTCCCTGTGACCCTAATGGGTGCACTGGGGTATACTGGTGTTCCTCAGTTTGAATGGGTGACCCTGGGCAGGTTTCTCTTTCCTCTTTCCTACAGGCAGAGGCTCCTCCTGGGACCTTGTTTTTCTCTGTTGGGGGATGGGTTGGTGGTGATTGGGGGTTTTCTTTCTTACTCTATTTGGGTATCCTGACTTTCTGTACTCTCAGGGGATTCTGCATGTGTCTTATCCCAGGTAAAGGCTGTCTCCTGGGCTGTACCCATACCTCTCATCCCCATGTGTGCTATCACATATCACAGCGTAATTCCCCTTGTAGGTTGGGCCAGTGGGTCACAGGTCTTTGCTCACTTACCTCTTTCCCTGGGCTCCACTGATGACTCTCCACCTGTCTATGCTGATGAGTAGTCAGTAGGCTGCCTATTAGGGAACAGTGGCTGTTGGTGTGGAAGCAAGCCATCCTTGCAGCAGCAGTTGCTGTGCATTTGGCTGTCATGGACCACTTGCACGGTACTAGTATCTACAGTAATGGCAGGGAGTGCTGCTTCTGGCAAGGTTGCTGGGCCTGCTGCTGCCATCAGGCAGGCGGGGGTGCTTCCTGCGTCCAGTGAGGTTGCCAGGCATGCTGGTGCTGTTAGTCGGGTTGGCCTCTATTTACATTTAATGAAAATATTGATTTGATTTAAAATTTACTATCTTACTATTTGATTTGGTTTTTCTCTGCCCTTTTTTGTTTCATTTTCTCTCCTTTTTTTGCCTTCTTTTGTTTGTTTTTATAATTCCATTTCCCTCTTTAGTTATTTTGATAGTTTATGAGTACATTATTCAACCATTCTTTTAGTGTTTCCCTAAAGATTTCAATACTCATCTTGTTAAAGTCTAGTATGAACTAGTAGTTTTAGTACTTCCTGGACAATGCCAGAATTTTACATTATTTTCACTTCTAGAATTTCCATTTATTTCTTTTTTGTAGTTTCCAGTTCTCTGCTGAAATTGTCAATCTTGTCTTTTTTTTTGTTTTTTTTCATTAAATTTTTATTTTGTCAATATACAATGTATATGATTATTATGGCCCATCACCGACACCTCCCTCCCTCCTCCCTCTCTCCCCTCCCCCCCAAGAATGTCCTTTCCGTTTGCTTGTTGTAACAACTTCAAAGGATTGTAGTTGTTATATCTTCTCCCCCCCCACCCGGTTATTTTTTGTGTCTGAGTGAATTTACATATTTATTTTTAGCTCCCACCAATAAGTGAGAACATGTGGTATTTCTTTTT